GGGGGGGGGGGGGCGCGCGCAGGGCGGAAACACAGGGCAGGGAGTCTCGGTGGCCATGGACACGCACGAACCGCCCCCGGCCAGGATGTACTCGTGGCAGGGGCTCCAGGCGACGCTGGATGCTCCGGAGGAGGGGCCGCCGCCGGTGGACAGGCAGTCGATGGCGCCGCCGGTGCGCGCGTCGCACAGCCGCACCCCGGCCGGCGAGGTGACATCCGTGGCGTAGGCACGGCTGCCGGGGCGCGGGGCCACCAGCGCCTCCGGCACCGCGGCCGCGATCAAGCTATGGGACTTGGCCACCGGGGAGAAGGCCAGCGCGGCCACGCCATTGCGCAGGTCGAAGGAGCCGGCGATCTGGAAGCGCGCGGCGTCCCACAGGAAGACCCCCTCGGAGTGCGGCCGCGAGGAGGCCGTGGCAAACATGCCGGCATCGTGCGGGAACCACCGGACGCAGGTCAGGGACTCGGGGGGGTTGCTGTGGCGGCGGTCAGGCGGCGGACGGCGCAGGGGGGGGGGGGGGGGCGTGGCCGAGGAGACCGGCAGGCAGCGGGAGCTGTCGCACCATTGGGCTTCGAACCGGGCATGGAGGGTCCCCGTCAGAGACATGCCATCCGAGTCGTCGGCCAGGTGGCGCTGGCGGACCGGCGGTGCCAGGTCGAAGAAGGCCACATCGCCATCGACCGAGGCGCTAAGGAGCCTGCGCCCATTGGGAGAGAGAGAGAGAGGGGGAGGGAGGCACGCGCATGCGCATGAAGCCAGTCAGAAGGGCGGAGCTCGGCCCCGGTGTGCGGGGAGATTCTTTTCCCCCCACCACCATGCAGGGCGAGCGTGCAAGCGGATTCGGCAGGGGCGCCTGCACACGCACATGTCCGGGAAACGCGGGTGCACATCGACCGAGGTGATGATGGAAGTGCACCGGCTTCGGGGGAGCCGGCAAACTGGCGGCCCGCCATAGGCCAAGCTGAAGCGGCCCGCGTCGGGGGGATCGGCCACCGGGCGAGTGGCGCCGCCATCGACACCCCCCGGGGAGATGCCCATCGGCCGGCCGACGGCCAGATCCAGCAGGGCCGTGTGGCGCTGGCGCTCCAATCGCGAAAAGGCCGCCGGCGGGAGGAGGCCACGCTCCAGGGCGAAGAGCGAAAGAGGCAACATGGCCGACCGCCGGGCGGGGGGGGGAGGATCCAAAAGAGGGAGAGAGAAAGGAGAGAAAAAAGAGAGGTGGGGAGGGGGGGGGGGAGGACGGCTTGCCCTGCGCGGAGGGCTTCGCGATCTCTCCCCAGCCCCGGGCCCGGAAAAGGAGATGGACGAGAGGGGGAGAGAGGGGACCGAACCTGGCCAGCAAGGCGCCCGAGCTGGGG